ACTACTTCTTTGGCTTCCTTTAAAACAACACTCAAATTGCTGTCCTTTAACCTCCGCTTATAACCCTCTTCCAATGAAAACAGGTTAATTTTTTTCTTCAGAGTATCATAGTCCTTAAAATCTTCTGGCAACTGTCAATGTAAACTGGCACAATCTTTCTGGAAGGCAATTCTCAATTTGCATCAAAAGGCCTTTAAAATATTCAGACTCTTTGCCTAAGTAGTTATGCTTCTAAGAGGTTACCTGAAGGAAATAATCAGCAGTGTCCCAGAGAGTTATATGAATAATGTTCAGTGAATGGCTAAGGTAGTGACCCACTGTAAATAACCTTTATGCCCAGCAGGGGAAATTAATTTTGTTTAGTTATCTAGCACCATGGAATAGTCATTCTTTTAGAAATCACATTTTAGAAGCCATTTAATCCATAGAAAATCATCCACCATATGTATATACATTTATTTTAGGTGCGAAAAACAAAGTGGAACAATGGTACTTGAAGTATTCCTTGTGTTATATGACAAACCCAAACTGTGCTTTGACATAAGCCAAGGCCAATGTGTCTAAGAAATATTTTAACATTTTTTCCTCCTTAGGCTCCTCTCTTCCTCCTTTAGGACTCCTTTAGGTCCCAAAAGCAGACAGAGCAAAGAGATCACGTTCCAGGATCCTGGATCTTACAGCACGAAAGGACCTTAGGAGATGCTGCAGGCACGCTGACTTACCCAGAGCATACTGCTAGTGAGTGACTGAAGATGGACTTGGACCGAGGTGTCCCAATCTCCAGCCTAGAAATTTCCCTCTAGACCTGCTACCTACCTCAGGACCATATTAATGAACGCGCAGAAACATATACTTACAAGACTGACATTAAGCAAAACTGAATCCCGCCTGGAGAAAGCACAACGGGTTACCTGCTCTTATTAACCTCGATCAGTAATTAATTGGCTCTATTGCCCCCCAAACCACAGATTCCCTTTTCCTTTCTCCTTTCTCCATCTCAAAGAAGTGGATGGGTCTATAGACCATATATTTTTCAAATACCGAGTGAGATGGCCAGAGATTCTGGCCAGCGGGCGAATCACGGGGGAAGAACGCTCCCTACCTGAGAGCGGGTAGACTCGCCTGGAGCGGAGATGAGTAGCGGAGCCCAGATGAGCAGCGAAGCCCTGGACTTAGAAAGCTCCGCGAACTACGAGCTCGCTCCGCCCAGGGGATGAGGTCCCGCCCATCCCTGACGGACAGTCTTGCTACTGGCTGACTTGGAATGAAAAAAATATATACGTCCAGAAACCAAAACTGAAACCTAACTACTGAGGTTTCTCGTAAATAAGACTTTTCAAAAGGGAATCTTCAAGAAGCAAAACATCTTTGTTTTAAACAAAAGTTTAAACAAAGCAGCTTCCGAAATCATCGCAAAGTTTTCAGATGTTGGTTTTACCTTCAGAATCCAGACACCTTAAATTCTGCCATCAGGTTTCCTTACTTTTTGATAAAAGCTTTTGCAAGAAGACAGAACATCTTGGCATAACTTGATATAATTCTGCAACATGTAGAAAGTAAAATGACATGCCAATATGGCTTTGGTTTTTATTCTAGAAAGTAGGTGTGTGTATATAATAGGAAATGTATTTTTAAACGGTGTATTGTGAGACTTCCTCAAAGTTCCTCGACATAATGAAACTTCAATTGCCTTGTCATTAAAAGAACTTCCCATCATGAGTTACACCTGGTAAGAATGCTCTGGCTCCCTGCTATCTTGCCATCCTTGGGATGTAGAGAGTGGGGTAGTACATTCTAGATGAGGGTTAGGAAAACCCTTCTGGTAACTCTAACCAACAGATGAGCCCAAGCTGAAACCATGTGACTTACACAAACAGTAGTGGCATAATTTACTTGAGCATTCCTCACTATTGTACTTCTAGGTGCCTCTTTTTCTCCTTCCCTACTTCCTTCATCGTTCTTTCTTTGTAATTTTAAATTTATATATTGAATACTTCGTTGTCAATTCAAAATACTGCATAATGAATGAATACTGAGATGTCTATTGGCTTGGTTATGGCATTCAAGTAAGTATTTTCACATTCTCAGAATAGCACTTATTTTTATATTTTAACTTGGAAAAATACTGAAGATGAGATTGCCTTGAAAATCTGGTGGGGAATGTGAAATTCTCTTTAGCCTCAATAAAATTGTAATAGGCTAGACGATTTAGCTCAGGAGCTCCCTATTGCAAATCTCTCTTGAGGCCACATAGTGGAATAGAGCAGTGTTTTCTCAAATTTAGTTCCTCTAATATTTTCTATTTAATCTGTTTTACTTTTCCTAAAAATGACAGTCAAGACCCAGGACATATAGCTAATGACCTGCTAGTGTGGTCGTATAACTGTCAAGTCAGAAAAATTGAACTCTAGAGCTACCTACCACTAACTAGTTGAGTAATTTGGGAAAAATAATTTACTGAGTAGTCAGGATTAGATGGCCTTGACGATCTATGAATGATTTTTCTAAACTGGGAGGAAATGTTTAGTTTTATTGTTTGTTTGTTTTACCAAAGTAATGTTCAGGGCCTGTATAATGATCAATAGAAAAAGCAGGAGGCAAATGGAATTTGCCTTTCCCTGAAGTTGTTGATGAGAATGGAAGGTTTTTGTTCATCTTGGGGCTCAGTGATTTACATATTAGTAATCTGAGGATTTGCGATATTGTTCATCTCACCCACCTGTTTCCAGCCTTCAGCCATTCATTTTCTCCACACAGTTTATCAAGCTTTTCAATGAAGTTTTTCATGTACTCTAAAAAGAGAAACACTGGATGTGTTTAGAAAGAAAAAAAAAAGAAGTTTTATCACTTAAAAAATATATGAAAATCAAAACAGTCAGGGTCATTAGTACCAAAACCACATGTGAGTTTTGAGATTTGAGTGAAGTAGATGGAGAAGTGCTGAGATAGGAGAAGAGCAGTGGAAGCCAGAGCCAAAGAACTGGACACTCCGATCATCTCCAGGATTGCCATTTCCCATTCATGCCCCTCTTTGTTCATTTTTAGGAGTAAAAACTCATCATTGCCTGTGTGCTGTTTCTGAGTGTTTCTGAGTATCACTTGCATCACAGTTGACTTGTGCTGGGTGTTTAAATACAGATTTTAGGGCTCTAACACAGACCTGCTGAATCGTTTTCTGGAGCGTGGTCCTGGGAGTCTACATTTCAACACCAACCTAAGGTGATTCATGTGCACGCTGAAGTTTTAAAATCTGATTGTATAATGTTTACAGAAAAAAAATGAACCAAGAAGTTATAACTCCCCTTCCTCCATCTAATTTGGTTAATTGGTATCAATACCACCCTTCACTCTACCTCTGCTCATTCCACTTCTTCTTTTGCCCTAAAACAAGAGAGGTGATTCTCATTTGTCCTGATCTTAAAAGGATAGATTCCAGGGTCCTACAACTGTGCGTAAAGTGATGCTAGCAATTTCCTGGTGAAGAAGCAATTTCCAGTAAGCTGTTTTGATCATCAGAAACAGGAAATAAAGATACTCAAAACAAAAAATATTGACAAGCTGCTTTATTTGCATTTAATATTTTAAAATGCATTGTATTAATATATAAGGACAATATCCACAGTCAACAGAAGCCAAATATCTGTGGTGAGCCTCTACAAACAATAAGGACATTAACATATCTTAAAGTCATGCTCACAACCATTTCTAACACAATTTTTTCATGGTAAAGAATTCAATTTAGCTTTGAGGGCATCAGTAAAGCCTGTATGTTTTTCTTGTCATTTTTAATAATATATGTATACTTTTTAATTAAAATCGTTGCAAATTAAAAGCTACTGCTCTCAAATTATATATACAAACAATTTGTCCCCATGTTCTATTTTTGATTGAATAGGGTTGTGAACCACCGCCGCATGTTATGCCCATTTCTCTCTCTATCTCTCTCCAATCACCAGCTCCTACTTTCTGTTGCCTCTACTTTTGCCATCTATTCATACTCCCATAGACTGGTGCTAAACAGACTTCATGGAGCAGAACAATTTGCCCTGGTAATACGACTCTTTAAAATACAGGGGAAATTAAATTTGTGGATGGCCAGAGGGTAGCAGCTGTCATCATTTGATGCCCATGCTCAGATGCTTCTCTCACTTAGACCGTATTTGTCTCCTTCCTTCCTATCCTGAGCTGGGGAAGAGCTGGCCAAGTGACAAGCTCTTGCCTTCGAAGGGCAGCTTTCATGCTGTGGGTACTTTAAAACAAAGATGAAGCCTCAACAATGTCCCATGACCTCAAGGAATTCATGAATCCAGACATAAATAATTATGACTCAGATAAACAATGTGGGAACTTGGGAACATTCTATGATAAATAATTTAATTTCAAAGAATCTCAATAAATAAACTGAAGGCCGCTAAAACTAGAGTTTGCAGCTGGGAGATCCCCTTTCAGAGGATACTGGAAAATATTTTTTTGATTTAATAAATATCCTAGAACTAAATAACCTAAGTGGATGGTGTAGAAATGAAACAGTCCTCCTGTGAGTCATTTTACTTGGTTTAAGGACATGATTTAGTTCAAATGTCTCTTGTGGAATTGCCTCCAGGAGAATTATTTTTTACCCACACGTGGTTTTAAACTAAGAACAATATGAGTTCTAAAACTCTTCGAAATCCCTACTTGGAAGGGAACAACTGATTTTTGTTTTCTGGTATGAATAAGTAGTTATTCAAAGACTGATTATAATCACATCCAGGTTAACTGGCTCGAGAACCTAATTAATCTGCCATTCTTGATAATAGACTCATCATAAAAGAATGAGTAGTTTTTTTCTTTTCTCCACCTTTTCCTGAAAGGATATCAAAGCCTTTCCGTTCTGAGAGATTCCAAGCATAAACTAGTAAACGGAAATTTCAGTTACTGAAAAGTCCTACTTAAAAGAAGAAAAGAAAGGTGGGACAATATGGTAGAATATCTAGTGTAGTTAGCTTCCTCTCAAACAAAATCATTGGTTATTCATCACTGTATTTCACATATAATCCTCATTTGCTTCATTTTGGTAAAGGAGATAGTTAATGCCTGCTGTAACCACAAAAAAATTTAACCTAATTAATGCATCCTTTTTCCTGTGTTCTTGGAGGGCAAGAGGAAGATGGGGAGTTGACATGGGGTAGAATAAATTCTAAAATTGGCATACTTGTTGCCAGATTTCCTTGGAAGAAACTTGATGGACACTGCGAGGACAAGCTGTGCAGCACTTCCAGGGATGCTTGCCATAGGAGCAGGAGAAAAAGAATGAACACTGAGATCTGAGTTTGTTTGTTTGTTTGTTTAATGTCCTTGGGTGGCACAAACAGATGTTGTATCTTGTGAAGAGCTGCAAAGGAAAGGGGCTATATAATAAGGTCATTTTATTCATCAGAGTTCAGAGACCGTTTCCCTTTTTCTTTTCTTTCTTTCTTTCTTTTTCTTTTTTTTTTTTAAGACACTCAGTGTAGGAGACCAGGCTGAATTTCTTAAAGAGGTGCAGGAGGCTGAGAGTCACCGTGAGATAGCTCATTAAAGTCTATGGAGGCTTAGCGAGGCTCAGGAGCATGAAGTCTCACATACTTGGGTGACTGACAAAGCTCACTGAGGCCTTTAAGTGAGATTGTCCTTGTGCTTCTTCTGCCTTCCCTCAAAATCTTACAGCTGAGTCGCTGCGGTTTTGAATTTTTTTTTAAATAGACTTGTCATTTCCTTTCTATTTTTAAATTAAGTTCATTAAGGTAACATCAGTTAATACAATTAGCGGTTTTGAATTTGCCTCTTTGACCCGCCCTTGCCCGGCACCCGGCGTAGAGCACAGTAGGCTTTAGTCCGCCGCGCGGCCCCTTTAAGGAAGCCAAGGGCTGCGCTGACTGGCTGGGGCGGTCAGCCAATCAACGAGGCGAGGCCCGGTTCCTGCTCCATTCTGCGGTCCCAGAGCTTGAAGGCCTCTGCCACGGTCACCGTGACCCCGCGCCTCTGCCGCCCCCCGGCAGGTGAGTGAGCGGCAGCCTTGCGGGCCGGTGCGGCCCCGGGTGGCGAGGGCGCGTGCCCCGCCGCGCTGGGCGCACGTTCCTGGTGAGCGCCTACCCTTGGCTCTCGTCCTGCCCCGAGGGCTGACGGGTAGTGCCCCTCTAGTCCTTCAGAAAGGTTCCTTTCCAGGCCAAGGACTCCGGGCTTTTCCCGTAACATTGTAATGGAGTTGGGGGAAAAGTAAGAGCATTGTCAACGGAAATCAGCACATTTTGCAGGAAGTACCCAAGTTATAGTAATTGGGTTTAGGCAGCGTGGGTGGGGTTCAATCAGGAAAAACCGCCCAGAAACAGTGTGTTCCGGAGGTGGAATTTGCAAGGGAAGTGGCCTAGTTTGAATGGAACGCAAAGACTTTTTTTTAAAATGGTTGTACTTATGCAACCAGTCATAAATGCAGGAAGTTAACGTATAATTTGATCATATAATGAGTCAGCGCAGAAATTTGGATGACACAGGTCATGGGATTTTCCTTTCTATATTTACTTTTTAAACTAAAATCAAATCCAGGTTCCCAGTGGTGACCCGAGGAAGGCTGCCTGGAACTTGCAGCCCCAACACTCCTCAGAAATACCTCTTCGATTGTAATCTATAGCACAGCTGAGGCAGGGCTGGAGCATCAAGGGCCCTTTTTAAGGTCTCAGGAGTAATCAAAGTTAAAAGGAAGGAAGAAGGGACTCAAATCAGCATTCTCATCCCTCTGAAACACACTGGTGTCTAAGTTATAAGTATCAAGACATTTGTCACCAATGATAAAGTGTTGGGATTTTTGAAAGACCTTATACAATAGAGTGACTTTAAAGTTATTCCTCTTGCAAGATTACTCTTGCTTATTTTCTTTTTCCCCCCAGTTTTATTGAGAAGTAACTGATATACATCACTATATACGTTTAAGGCATACAACATGATGATTTGTATATCTCATAACAGCAATATTAACTATAGTCATCATTTCTGATATCTATTTTGTGAGTGGGAGAGAGAAGACTGAGTATTCTGGACACTCTAACGAACCTCCCAGGCTTTGGAAAATGGTTTTATTAGGGTGCGGAAGGTTGAAAATACTGGACTTCAGGGTGTAGTTTACAAGATGTGCACTCATTTTCAGGTGTGATCTCCCCTGAGGACCACAGGGAAGCTCATCTCCCTGCTTGGCTTCTACCTTTAACTCTTGGGAGCATCCCCTAACACATCCAAACTACAATCCAGACCCAAGAGGGCAAAGTCCAGAAAGAGGTAAGCTTAAATCTTAACTTTCTGGATAGTTTTCCTTTCCTATATGGCTGACATGAGGACTGCCCTTGCACTTCATGGGAGATCTCACCCCTTCATAAATAGGAGCACTGTTAGAGACACAGCTCTGTGACATAGGGGAAGAGGGAGAGAGGGAGAGAAAGAGAGAGGGAGAGAGAGAGAGAAGGAATGGAGTTTGAGGACAATTGTTTATAAATGTTTGCAGCGTATGTAAAAATTCAGTTGTCCACTCCTATATGCAGAAGAAAAATAAGAAATGGCAAGTGGCCTGAGCTGTGCTTTCTCTTGTATCACTCACTGCTTTCTGCAAACTTTTATGAGAAAGACACCATGGGGACTGCCAAGATAGATAATATATTGCTTTTGCCTTCAGGCAAGTCCTGGCTTGCTGTTAGAAACAGTTGACATGAGACTGTCCGAGTTTGCATAAAGGAGAGAACTCAAGCTAGATTTCCCCACTCTCAGTGGGTGGCTTCCAACTCTTGTCACAGAATAGAGTGGGGCAGTGGCAGAGGGGAAGGGAAAACCTCATGACCTCCCTGGCCTGTTCAAGGCCTCTTCTCTCTGATGTGTGATTTGGCCTCCTGTGCCCAGCATTAAAGCTGATTCGGATCAGAAGCCCCTGTAATTCTAGGGTGTGTCTTTGGCTGGAATATAGGAAGCCACTGAAGTCCAGCTTGCAGTTCCCACTCACCTGGAGCCCCATTTGCAGGGATAACCCATTCCACCTGTCATGAAATGCCTCCACCCCAACTTCTCCCCAGTTAGCCGGAACTCAAGATTTTCTGATAAGGATATGGAAACTAGAAGCTCTTCTGGCTTCCCACAGAATACTGTGAATCTTGGGTAGAAAGCATTATGACTGGCCACTCTGGCCCAAGCTTCACAACCTTGCTCAACAGCCTATCAAACAGAATCAGCAGCATTGTTGAGGAGGGTAGAGCAGTTGTAATTTCCTTGAGTTTTGTGTTCTTCTGAACATAAAATCAACTGAAGTTCATCTGTATCTACCAGCTGGATTAAGAACAAAAACTGGAGTTCTGTTCTACCTAGAATTGACAGCCCACTTAAGAACTTCTTAGGTGAGATAAATAAAATAGACAATACCATATATTCATTTAAAAATTGTGTTTCCCGGGACATTTAATTATCCTTATGTTTTTTCCCTTTTGAGAACTTCAGTAGTAGCCTGAAGAGAACAAATGTGAAGCTGGAGGAGGATGGCTGAGGGATGTCAGCAGTGAGTAAATGGAAATAGGGGGTGTGTAGGAGAGGGGCAAGGAGTACAGGGAGAGTATAGCGACTTTGAGACACCTAAAACTTCCTAAAACACAACTGCAAGTAGCACAGAGAAATCTGCCCTCAAGGTGCACAATGCATCTTCTCAATCACCCCTCTATCATCCAGCTGTACAGAAGGTAAAAGGATGGATGGTATCCTCCCTGTCCCTCACAAAAGAGAGAGTTCTTTTCTGTTTTTGTTTTTTGTTTTTAAATATTCAGTTCTTTAAGATTTGGGGAAGCAAAATCAGAAAACATGGAGCAGATTTTAGAAATCATCTAGTTCAATCATCTGGTCTTAGGTGAGTAAATGATGACCAAGTCAGTTAAGTTTGTACAAGATCAGACAGCTAGTTAGGAGCAAGGACTAGAATCCACACTGTGTTCCCAGGTCAGAGTTTTTTCTTATTTTTACGTTATGACAAGCTCACGATAGCCCAAAGCAGAGCATACGAGGATGCATGTAGAATATACTGTTTTAAGCCTCTTTGCTTTTTTATATTTTAGGTCAAGATGGGGTTTATATTTTCAAAAGCTATGAATGAAAACATGAAAAACCAACAGGAGTTTGCGTTAATGAATGCTCGACTTCAGGTACACTTTTAAATAATTAAGTTTTCATGTAGTTACAGTGGTTAAAGTTTCTAACACATGTGTTCCATCAGTATGTTCTCTTTGAACCCCAAAGGGTAAAATGCTCTTGGAGCTTCATCCTCAAAGCCAAGATGAAATGGATTATTAATTATCTAGTGGATGGGCTTGTTTAAATCTCCAGTCCTGATCCCGTGTGACTATTTTTCTTTACATGGCAAAAGGGACTTTGCAATGTGATTAAGTTAAGGAGCTTGAGATGGAGAAGATCCTGGATTATCTGGTTGGGCCCAGTATAATCACAGTGGTCCTTATAAAGGAAAGAGGGAGGCAAGAGGACTAGAAGTGGGAAGGGGGATGAGAGAGAGGACCAGAAGTAAGAAGTGGGAAAGTGGGTGAGAGAGGGAGGGAGAGAGGGCAAGAGAGAGAGAGAGAGAGAGAGTTTGAAGATGCTATGCTGCTGGCTTTAAAGATGGGATAAAGGGCCATAGGCCAAGGAATTCGGACAGCCTCTAGAAACTGGAAAAGGCAAGGCTACAGATTCTCTCCAGAGGGAATGCAGTCCCACCAACCCGTTTGGGCTTCTGACCTCCAGAACTGTAAGATAATAAATTTGCGTTATTTTAAACCACTGAGTTTGGTAATTTGTTATATAGCAATAAGAAATTAATACAGAGCATGAAAACCTAAGGCTGGATAGAAAAGATCAAAACAAAGTAGAAGATTGCCTAATTGCCTAATATAGGTTGTCAGAAAGTATTTTAAAATAAATCAGGTGTTAAAGTTTTGACTAGAATTGTCTTCCTAAAATGTCAAAGATCTCATGGCCCTGGGAGTAGAAGGTCCTGTCCTGCTGTGCGTCAGTACAGTGAGTGGTTAAAAGTGAGGACTAAAGACAGACGGCTTGAGTTTGAATCCCATCTCTACCCCTGACTGACTGTATGAATTGTGCCTCAGTCAGTCTCCTCATCTGTAAATGGAGGTGATAGTATCTCCATCAGGGGGTTATTTTGAGGAGTAAAATGGTAGTGTATAGAAAGTAAACAGAACAATGCCTCAAGTCTTTAGAACAGTGTCTCTCTGTAAGTATTAGTTGTTGCTGTGGTTATTATTGCTATTAAAGAGTGATAAGAGTGGCTTGTGCAGGTTAATAACTTTTAGGGGAATGAAACAATTGAAAGAATAGGCAACTAAATTATTGTAACAGCCAAATGACTTAGGGGAGGACCAGATATTAGGCATACAAACCAGCCAAGAATGTCACATACTCAGTCCCTGTCCAAGACCTGTGGAAACTATAGGGCTTCGGCTCTTACATCAGTCCCCATAAAGTCAGGGTCTGTAAAGGATCTGGGATTTTGCCCTACTTGCAAGCTAACAAATTAGCCTGTTAACTCTTTTGTGGATGCTAGCAGAATTCAGAAGACACCTATGTCAGAGACAGAGGACTTTATTACTCATAGCTCAGCAAGCAGTGTAAGCATGAGGTTGGTGTCAATTCCCCATGCTCCTCAAATCTCACAGAGGTGACAAAGATGGGTTTAAATTGGTGCTGTGCATTCAGTGGGTTTGTGGCACATTTGAGAAACATTGAGCTTGGGGGGATCTACTATTTTATAGTGAGTGGTGAGCTTGTGGAATTGGGGAAGGTTACCTCACTTCTCAAGGTTTTTCACTGCAAACATAACCCAGAGAAATGGCCTCAACAGTTTGGGCCTTGCCCTCTTGGCCTATCTTGCAAGACTGTGCCAGGTCATTCAGCGTCTATGGCAGATGGCCCCTCCTGACAACATGCCCCTCTGCCCAACAGACCAGAACTTTTAGAACAACCTCAACTTCTGCCCACTGATCCCAGCAACCACCACAGCTAGTGCTGAGGTCACACTGTCAGGAGCACTATCAGCAACATCATTTTTCAGTTTGGCTGAATCAAAGGGGGACCAGGCCCAGGCATTTAGGAGAATCTCTGCGACTCCAAGAATCTCTGAGCCAGTAGCTATGCTTCAGGTGACAGAATTGGGGATAAAGTTTTTCCCCAAAGGGTAGCTACTACTTTATGCAAAATTGAGATGACAATAGGGTCAGCCATGCCCTCAAACATATTTTAATTTGACCAGCAAATGGACCCTTTCTTTGTAGTTATCTTATTCTAGTTAACTCACTCCCAAATGGGGATGTCAGGCCTGAGAATCACAAGACCTCCAATAGTCAGACATTCTTTTTAATAAGAGCTCAGTAGTAATCCGAGGGTTGCCTTACATTTTTGAAAGGGGTATGTTACAGGTTGAATTGTGGTCCCCCACCCCCATTCATATGTTGAAATCCTAACCCCCACTACCTCAGAATGTGACCTTATTTGGAGGCAGAATCTTTATAGAGGTGATCAAGCTAAAGTGAGGTCATTAGGGCAGGCCTTAGTCCAGTATGAGTGGTATCCTTATAAAAAGGGGAAATTCAGACATAGAGACATGCATACAGGGAGAATGCCATGTGAATATGAAGTTGGCCATTTACAAACCAAGGAGGCCTCACGACCCTCACAAGGAGCCAACCCTGCTGACACCTTAATTATGGACTTCCAGCCTCCAGAACTGAGATGATAAATTTCTGTCGCTTAAGCCACTCAATTTGTAGAACTTTGTTACAGCAGCCCTAGAAACTAATACAGGATGTATTTAGTGCTTGTGTCCAGCAGGTGGCGCCGATGTACTGGGCAATGGCCTCTGGAGATAGGCTGTGCTTTTCTTTCTCTTTGGGATTCTATATTGTTTCTACTAGATCAGCGGTCCTCAACCTTTTTGGCACCAGGGACCAGTGGTCCTATAAGAATCTAATGCCTAATGATCCGAGGCCGAGCTGAGGCGGAGATGCTAGCGCTGGGGAGAGGCTGCAAATACAGATGAGGCTTCATTTGCTAGCCCACCGCTCACCTGCTGTGTGGCCCAGTTCCTAACAGGCCACAGACCTGTACTGGTCCAGGGCCCTGTATTAGACAAATAGAAGGGGTCAGGGAATCCCTGAATGGGAGAGTATCCTCTCATCACTATAAATATTTGCAATATAAGCAAGTAACACATCAATTTCATTATACATTTATAGGTGGGAGGCAAAACTGCAGTATCTTGAAGCAGCTCGAAGGCCACTTTAATTTCCCTTCCTCACGGCGAACTTAATTCAGACTCTATCAGTTGAATTCCAGTGTGTTTTTCCCCTATGGGAACACATTTAACATAGGTACTTCAGGGGTTATCTTAACAGTTTCAGGAGATTATGTTATCTCTCAGGTGGGGCAGACTGGGGAGGGCAAAGGGGCAAGGATAGCTTTTTGCCCTTTGGCCCCTTATCCCAGAATAGGTGCTGCTTCCTCCCCTATGCACCCTCCCCCTCTGGAGAGCACTGGAGTTCAGAGGCATCATTCCTTACCCTCTACTGGTGCTATCGCTCAGCCCTATGTTGACATAAGGAATATCCAAACATGTAGAGAATTTTGATGAGTTTATTTAAACCAAACTGACAACAGTTTCCTGGAAGCCAAATCTCAACGGATTGAGAAAATGCTCCAGAGAATGGCAGATTCGTAGCTTATTTTACACATCAGAATAAAAAGAAGAGACATAAAGGGGCTTACATGAAATCCATTGGTGGTAGGTCAGCGAGTAGGAGAAGACAAAGCAGGGAGATCTCTGGAATTAGATAAAAAGGCAAAATAGAGAAATACATACTTCTTTACATTGGTGGGTACAGGAGAGTTAAAAATTAACATTTACAGCACACAGAGATGGTATGCATGGAACAAGATAACAATGAGGTGTTCTGTGGTCACATGCTCTAGAGCAGTAGTTGTGCCATGAGGAGCTGGAAAAGATTATTCTGAGATTTCAAAGGTATTTTATCTTAGATACTAAAAGATAATAGGCATGCTCACTTAAGGTAAAGATTGACCTTTGTCAAAGGAGCCATAGGCCTACGACGTGACTACCCACCATGACCCGCTTTTAGTTAGGAATTTTTATGTTCAGACTATCCTGCGTGGTAACTTGTGGTCTCTGAGTTTGTAGGCCCGCCATGCAGGCTTCCCCTGACCTTATCAGGTTTAGTTTGTGGCCCCTTTTTCGTCCACACCTGTATCCTCAGCTCTTTGTTCCAACCTGGTGTTTAGCTCACCCTCCAGCTACATGGGACCAAGTAGATTTGGGTACCTCCATCCAAAGAGCCATAAACATTTAAGTCCCTCCTCTTGCCTCCCTTAAGTTCTTCCAGCACACTCATCCTTCTTCCTTAAAGCAACTGAAGTTGGGGAAGAGATGGAGGGAGCAAGCAGAAGCCTTTGTATCTACTTTCAGTTTCAAGGGGCCTCCCACCACTGGGTTCAACAAGCAAGTTTCCGATGCTTTTTGACTACCCAGAGTTCTGTAACCTCAATGCTGACACCATTATTTCAGCTTTGGGACCCTTTGACGCATCAGCCACAGCCATATTGCATATCTTTTGGCTGGGGTGTGGGGCTTGTTGCCCCACGGTGATAACATCCTTCCTCCCTCCCCAGAGGAGAATGTGTCATATCTGGGCGACCTTTCGTCGCTCTGCCTCATTTAACACATAGGACAGTAAGAGACCCTTACTCGACCCTCCCACCCTCACCACCACCTAGCCGAGAGCTTTTCCTACTGGATCTCAGGAAGTCTTTTCATATCCAATAACCCACCAATGAGGGCTCTTATCCTTTCTCTTTCAGAATGCCATGGCTCTCTCTATCAGTATCTCATCTTTGTCACCAAAACAGGCAGGCCTTATGAAGAGTCTGGGATTTTACCCTACTCGCAAGTTAGCTTGTTACTGTTTCACAAATGGTGGTTGAAGACTTTGTTACTCACACCATAGCAAGCAGCATGAGCATGCTTATGATGAGCAGGAGAGTTTTCTATGTGCCCCACATCCCATGGAGGAGGTGGAGGTGGGCCTACTTGGATGCTGAGGTGGATGCAGTGAGTTGCTGACTTAATTGAGGAATAGCGAGCTAGGGAATCTACCACTTTTATGGTGAGTGGTTACTTCATCCCTCAAGGTTGCTCACTGCAAACACAACCCTGAGAAATGGCCCAGGTAAAGGCGGTCAGGGCCTTCATCCTTGGTCTACCTAGCAAGAAAGTACAGGAATGTTCAGAGCCTGTGCGGATTGGTCTGCCAACATGTGCATTGGTTAAGATTAGTTTTTCCTTGTCGATCAGGATGTGCTTTATTATTCATCTTCTCATTTCAAGGAAGGAGACAAAGGGAATATAGATCAACATGGTTGAAGCAGCTTTGCAACTCTAGAACTACTTGAATTCTGTTCCTAGATCTCAGCTGGTTCAAGGGAAGCCTAGAGGAAAACATACTCATCTGTAGCCATTTTGAAAGATCGGGTTGGTTCTTGAATGATCCCCATTTAAAGGAATTAAATTTCTAGCATCATTTTTAGGGTTTAGAGCCCTGAGGACTGGGCAGGACTCTGCAAATAGAAGAAATGGGCCACTGGGATGGAAGACAACACATCTTTGTAAGTCCTTCAAAGGGAAGAATTTTTTTAATCCCGATTGAAACACCATGCCTACTAATATCTTCAACCTGCTCTGCTCTTTGGCTCTTTTTCTCAATAAATGGCACCACAATGAAAAGGATAAATAGAAGAAATAAAGCAAGAAAATACAGTGTTTGCTTTATAGAGAATCCTGTGGTAACAAGGGACCCAAAATGTAGAGTAGATAGTGAAGAGGATAGGAAAGCAACCATGTCTATATCTATATGTAGAAGGATAAGCAACTGAGAGTTGGTTTAAGAACTAGAAGTGTCAGGGGACTTAACCAGGAAGTGCCTTGAATAAAAGAGGTAGAATGACCAATATAAGTGCGAGGAAACCTACATTGGCCTAACGCTGGTGCTTGGTTTTATAGTCATCTTCCCCATCCCTGCTACCTGCTCTTAGCCTCCCCATATACCTCACCTATAATCATTCTCCTGAGGCTCATTTGTTTATTGTGATAAAATATACATAACATAAAATTCACCATTTTAAAGTGTACAATTCACTGACATTTAGTGCCTTTACACTGTTGTGCAACCATCACCACTATTTAATTCCATAACATTTTCATCACTCCAAAAGAAAACTCCATGCCCATTAAGCAGTCCCTTCCCATTCTTCCTCATCCCCCCAGCCCCTGGCAACCACTAACCTGCTTTCTGTCTCTATAGATTTGCCTATTCTGGACATTTCATATAAATGACATCATATAACATATGGTCTTTTGTGTCTCATTTCTTTCACACAGCATCATCTTTCCAAGATGCATCTATATTGTAGCATGTATTTCATTCCTATTTATGGCTAATATTATATTGTATTGATATACCAAGTTTTATTTATCCTTCATTGGTTTATGGACATTAAGGTTGTTTTCTACCTTTTGGCTATTGTGAATACTGCTGCTATGGTAATATTGTACAAGTTTTTGTTTGAACATTTGCTTTTCAGTTATCTTGAGTATGTATCTAGAAGTGGAATTGCTAGGTCATATAATTATATGTTGAACCAACCGAGGAACCTTCAAAATGTTCATGATGGTGCCAACCTGCTGATGTCTTTCTCTACCAAAGTTGGAACCCATGGAAATAAGTTAATTTAACTGTATCCTGAAGGATTAGGTCTAAATACAAAAAATCTTCAGCAAGTCTCATTAAATGTGGAGCAAGATATTAACATGTCTGCAATCAGAGGAATTAATATAAATACTCTTAAGACTTAATTTTCTATATACTATCTGTGTTCAGGAATGGTAGGAATTGAAAGTAAAATAATTAATAAAGGTCACTGGTGTAATAGGCACTTACTTCTACAAAGGTAAACAGATGACAAAGAAAGGTCAAGCCACTTTTGCTTGACAATGTGGATCCTTTGCTTCCTAGCCCTTCCAAGGTTGCAGGACCTTTACTATGCTCAGTTCCCCAAAGGGAACACACAGGTTTTAGGTTTGTTCACAAACTTAAATGAAACCAATAAATCAAGTTACAAACTATCAAAAAGATTTTTTTTCTTTCCCTCCCTCAACTATAATTTTATTTTCATAAATCTGATCAGAGTGAATTTTAATTCATTTGTAGTTCTTTATTGCTTGAGTAAGGTGGGGATTATTTGTTTATTAACTCAGTAAAGCGTTTACTGAATGCCTAATATATAGAGAGTTTGGGGCACAAAACTATTAAAAATGTTCCTTTAGCTTAAATAATTGTTTTCTTTATAAATCTTCATAATATGTGTGTGCACACACATACACACACATACACACACACACACACTCACACACACTCACACCACTCACACACACTCACACTCACTCACTCACTCACTCACCCCACCATATTCCAAAAAGACTTTCAGTTAGGCTTGCTGTTAAAATCTTTAGACTTCTCATCTGTGTCGTTTCTAGTTTTCTTCTCCAAGATAATTAAGAATGTAGGGCAGTGAGAGAGGTGGATTTTAGAGAGAGAAAAAAAGTAGCCTTGTTAATATTTAAAATAAGGGGAACAATCCGAAGTGTCATTATTCTTGAATAAATTTACTAAATGAAGAATAATGAATCCACATTTTAAGAAATGTTTCAGTTGAAATAATTTTAGATTTGCAGAGAAGTTACAAACTCGTATAGAGAGTTTATGTATCTCCTTTGTCTAGCTTCCTCTGATACGAACAATTTACAATGATCAAAACCAGGAAATTAGCATCAGTACAATGCTATTAACTGAATTACTGATTTTTTTGAAATTTCACCAATTTTTCTCCTACGGTCCTTTTTACGTTCCAGGATCCAATTCAAGACCTCACATTGCCCTTAATTGTTGTGTCTCCTTGGTCTCCACTCTGCAATAGTTCCTGATTCTTTCCTTGGCTTTCATGATAAGCACTTTTGATAAGTACTGGTCGGTTCTTTAGTAGTTCTCTCACTTTGCATTTTTTCCAGTGTTTTTTCATGATTAGATTGAGATTGTACATTTTTTACATATTATTCTTAGACCACAGAATGCTGTTGTATCTTTGTGACTACATCGCTTCAGAGGACATCCGATGTTGATATGTCTCATTTCTGGTAATGTTAGCCTTGATCTCTTGATTAAGGTGGTGTCTATCATATTTATCTACTATAAAGTTACTTTTTTTTTTCCTGATAAATATATTTGGGTAGATACTTTGAGACTGTTAATATCTTGCTTCTTTTCAGTCTTCTGCCCACTCATTTTAGCAACCATTGGTAGGATCTTACATGCAACAATTATTACTGTGGTATTTGCCTAATTGTGATTTTTTTATCTCCTTCATTCCATCTACATTTATTCACTTGAAAAACTGTCCCTTCTCCATATATTTATTTATTCAATTATTCATTTAAATATGGTTTCATGGACATTTTATTCTATGGGTTATGATCTAGTACCATCATGATTTATTTTATGGCTTAAATTGTTATTTTGGCTATTGGGGACTCTTTCCAGTTGGCTCTTATGTCCTTTTGACATACCCCATCTTTTTTTGAATACTTGCTTATTTTCTGTGATCATAAGATATTCCATATATACTGCCCTTGCCCCAAGCCTGGAATTAACCACTTATTCAAGGAGTCTTGGTTCCTTTCATTGGAGAACGATACTCGGAAATCAGAATCTGGGCTCTCAGCAAAATTTGTACAAAATCTGTACTTAGTTAGGTCTGTCTCTAGACATGCTATTCAACTGGCCAATTTGTCGCTTCATATACCATTACCACACACTTTTAATTATAGATGATTTTTAGTATGTTCTGATACCTAATTAAGTTAGTTTATATCGTTGTAGCTTATCTTTTCAGTGTTTCCTTTTCAACGTTTATTGCATGTTTACTTTTTCATAGAAACTTTAGTTCAATTTGTCCAACTCTATAAAATAGTTTGTCGATTTTTAATAGGGACTGAACGCATTTATAAATTTATTTAGTAAGAACTGTTGAGTCATTCTATCCAAGAACAGGGGGTATTTTTCCATTTATTTGAGTCAATTTTGATCTCTTCCAGGAATTCATAAATGAATTACAGACTAAACCAGTTTTTGTATGTGTATGGAAAAAGAAAAATTTTAAGTTAAAATTTTCTGTAAACGATTATAAAAATATTCTTACAGTTGAATTCCTTGCATATCTGGCCAGGAATTATTAGCAGTGCAGATGATGGAGGGACATTCTTACTCAGAAGTATGCAAGACTGAAGAGCAGGAAGAGAGAGAACAGCAGATCTTCCAGGCAGGTTGGGGTGGCACAGTGGGAAATCTAGAAGGGAAAACTGAGCCCCAGACGCTGCCTGCTGGATTTAAGGCCAGGATATGGCTGCTAAGGACTATAGATTCATTCTCCTTGTGTGCAGTGGGAAGTTCACAGGCTTTGGAATCAGACACACCTGGGTCCGACCCTGGCTCCATCACTTACTGGTTGTATGACCTTGAATAAATGACATATGTTCTGTGAGTTTCAGTTTCATCACTAAGATGTGGAGAAGGATACCCAAGTACTAGCTTGTATGACAGAGAAGATGTTCAATAAATGTTCCCTCTTTCCCATTTATCTGCTTTCCTCTCTCTTACTTGCTCATAGTCACTACTTTACTTTTTTCTTCATCTCTAATTTTATTCTCCATTTTTCATTCATCATTTTTTTATCTTTCCCCAACTCTGTAGCTTCAGTTCTGTGGGCAGGTATTTGCTTTTCTAGTTCTTTTCCCCCTGTCTTGCAGGATGATTAGCAGTTTAAATCATCAATCCTGGTAATGATACCAAGGGGCCAATTAGCTTGCCAGGCTCACAGCCTCTCACTGGCACTCCCGATCTCGCTGAGAATGCTCATCCCTGAGCCTCTAAGAGACATTTGCAGGTGTCCCCTCTAGAGCCATGGCAGAACCTAAGTCATTCCAAAAGGTTCTTGTGACCTGACCCTTTTTGTGCCTACCTTGGCACAAAAAGGAATTGGTTCTTATTCATTCCTTTTGCACAGATGATATTTCAGGGTCATTTTGCTCCTTTTTTTTCCCCCCAGGAAATTTCAAAGCAAAAAAAAGTCTGAGTTTAAAATGAGTTCACTAAATACCAATTTACTTGTGATATATATTGCAAAGGAACAGGCACAAATTCAGAAAGATTCAGAATAACTGGGTGGGGCAGGGGGGAGGCGTAGGGGAGAGAATAGTTCCTCTCTTAAGAACCATGTATTTAAATTTGACTGACTACAATAGCAATTTAAAATATGCTTTTATTATAGTCATTGAATAAAAATATTTCCTGTTTCCAATTTTTCTTGTCAAGAGATTTGACACCTATTTCAATACTTAGGATTTACTTCACAACTAATACTGATTTGTACATAACCATAATTTCTAATTAAAGTTTGGTTACAGCATTCCTGGCTGGAATCCTGCCTCTCCCTTTGGGGTGTACTATCTTATCTCCTTATCACCTAAATTCCACAGGGCTGCAGCCTTCCTTAGT